ATGTCATATTTCGACGTCCAACATCAGTGTTTCTTGGTGCACTATTGTCAGCTGCTTGCTAACATGGTTCAGCTTCATCTGGGTACAGATTCGACATCACAGCATTCAGGACAAGCCCATATATGCTCTGTCACGCTTTTTAACAGACACCTAGTTGGTCATGTTCTTAGTACACTTGTTTCCATAGCGAGACGCACACGCCTTTATGAGGTGACAGGTTCGATTCCCGGCTTTCGATTTTTATGTTGTCTAATGTGTTTTTTTGATCTTACCAATAGTTCAGACGACAAACTTAACAATCACATTCTTGAAAACGTCAACAGCTTTACATACCTTGGAAGTAGGAGGACATCTATAGGGGATTCAGCGCCAGAAATATCACCTAGAATCGCACTGGCATCTAGTGCCTTTAACAATCTGTCAAACATCTTGAAGTCAAAGGCATTTATCACAAACACGAAACTTAAGATCTTCAACTCTTGTGTGATTCCAGTGCTAACTTATAGATGCGAGAGTTGGAAATCAACGGTAGCTCTAGATAAATAATTCGGCAGTTTTTAGAACATACGCCTTAGAAGAATACTAAATCTTTATTGGACAGATTTGTGATCCAATACGCAAATAAGACAAGAGACCAAGCAAGATAATGTATCAAAGTTTATAAGAAAGCGCCACAGAAACTACATTCAGAATGAATAAGACCAGACACCCCCATCAAGCCTTCATATGGACACAAGAAGGGGGGAAAAAACCCCAGAGAAGACCAAGAGAGACTATGTAAAACTATCGGCAGGAAAGGCTCAACCATGGGCCTAACAAATATCCAAGACCTAAAGCAGGTGGCAACGAACCGTCAGACATGTAGAGCTATGACTTCTGCCCTACGCGCCGCCCTAGGCTCAAGAGGAAAGACTGTGTTTTTCTTTCTACTTCTTTATATGAGTGCCGATCAATACATCGTCTGTTTGTTTATTATATATAATATCCCCAACAGAAAGCGAAAATTTCTATACTGATGGTACGCGTTGTCATCTGGTTAACTACTCCCCCTCCCTTCCTCTCAAGAATATGGTGTATCAGTCATACGCACACATGGAATCTTGCCTCAGACAGCAGAACAGGTACTGCCCCGACCCTTTCAGGCAAACCTTTGGTCCATACAGAACTATAGTGGAAAATAAACTCTACGGACAGCTCAATGGACTCACTTCAACAGTGAGAGACAAAATTGCAGATGTAGGCAACTTATTTCAAGCGAACAACAGAAGAAAGAAGAACATGTTTCAATAGCTCCATTTTTGTTTCAAGTTGGGGACGTGGTAATGATCAGACAGACAGACTGGTTGCTGCTGCCTCTCTGGGTGGTAGGCTGCACTGATAAAGTGGGCACAGAGCAGGTTCTCTTGGATGGCGTAAACAGTGCAAAAGAGCAGACAGATCATACATAGGAGAGAATGATTCAGCCGGGGGGTCAACATAGGATCTGGACGATTTTCTATCCGCAGGAAGAAAAAAAAAAGTGAATTTGTTTACTAAGGTTTACAGCTGGCACCATCAGTATGCAGATTCCTCATTGGCTACTGAGAAGTGGTGCGAAGCATGTATGGGAATGACCTGAGTACAGTAATGTTAGTTCTTGATCGATTGATTCGTTCATTCATTCTTCTTGTGGAGCTGGTCATCGTGTCTATCCATAACCTTCTGTCGCGTATGCCAATCATTTCTGGCTTTTAGGTCAGTCAACCATCATGTCCTTTACAGAACGTCCCTTTCTTCGTCGCACGGTTGAAAGTCTCTCTTTTTTTTTTTTTTTTCTCTAGCTAGTTCTCTATTTCCTGCTTATACGGAATGCTCCCAGAATAAGAACAATCATATATTTAACTCAAATGACGAAAAAAAATTTGTGGAAACGTTACAAATATCTCTTATATATTTTGTATTTCCCTTTTTTTTAAATATCAGAATATAGTTATGAAAACAAATAGATGAAACACACTGTCAGAAAAAGAAAAATTGTATTTAAAAAAACGGGAATGAAATCAAGGTTAAATTATTGAGAAACTTTGTGGATACAAAGAAACACAGATTAGGCTAGAGAGAAAAAGGTAGGTAAGTAGTTGTACCGCACCAGGACATCACACAAGCCATAAACACCCAGTGACACAAAGTGGCACCCGGCAGAAGCCAGGGTGGGGCTTCAGATAACAAAACATTGCATACAGCTACCTACCTTCCCTTCCCCCCTTCCTGGTTACCGTCTAAACATGGGACGCAATTTCTTGTTGCTTTAAAGCGCCATCCCGGCTATTGTCGGGGGCCCCAATAAAACGTAACGGTTAAAGTGGGTTCAAGAGACTTATGCCCGCGTGATCCTCGTCTGAATGATTGAACTTTGTGTCACCGGGCGTTGGTCGCTCGTTATGCTGTCCTGGTGGGGTTGGACGTCATTCAACGGGGTAGGTAATCTTATGAACGCAACTGAAGAAACAAGATATTCCACTCTCTATAAATATTTTTTTTTTCTGAAACATATTTTGTAAATCGCTTTTTTATTTTAACGTTTGTCCCCTCCAGGTTTATGAGTTGTCCCCATGTGGGATGCACTTTTTCATTTTTTGAAGCCCTTTCCTGGCTTTTGCCGGGGGCCCTGAATATAGCCGTGCTATAAATATGGCCTAACGGCTAAAAGGGGTTTCTGGGACCTCTCCGTGGGTGATTCTCATCCGCATGGTGGCACTTTGTGTCACCGGGTGTTTATCTCTTGTGTGCCCTTCAGGATTGCATTCTGCGTGATTAACTTCTTCAAAATGAGAATCAAACAGCTACAAATCCCAGAAACACGTTGACCATAAAACCATATAGCAGTTATCCTGGGGTGCCACAAAACATTTACAAACGTAACCTTTAGTCCACTATGGGTTCCGTTCCGTTGCTTTGCTTAGCAACAACAACAAAAAAGTGTCACCTTCAACCAGTATTACCGAAGAGGGAGCTTCAGGTTATATTTGTGACTAGGATTTGTGCGCCATATGAAATGGCATAGCACTGCACGCCACCATGAGCCCTGAAACGGACTCCTGCAGTGTGGATGCCATTGACTTGATATAGAAAAGAAGGAAAAAAAAACCTTGGACTTTTCAATGCACCCTGAGGGTCTCATTATAATTGGGTCCGTTGTTTGAGTGCGGTTTTGATTGTCCTTCCTTGTGAGGCGTGTTGGTACGCCTGACCATTCCCGATTGGTGCATGGATGCCACCGTTTAATGAGCTGGTTCTATGGGTTTTGCTGGTTGTCAAGTACGCTATCAAATCTTGCTCCAGAGCTGCCTCCCGGTACACCTCACCGAAGCAAAAAAAGCCTGCCACTTTGGGCCACCAACAAGGCCCGTTTCGGGGTCCTGTATTTAATTTCTTTTGGCGCTTCTATTTATTTCGCATTATACATGTGTATATGCGTTAGCCTGTATTGATGCCATCGAAGGAGACAGACGCAAATTCTGTCCCGACCTGCGACGAAGTCATCTACCGGCGAGCCAATGGGCGACCTGGTCACCCATGATCAGTGTGGGTGGCTGGATTTTCTTTCATGAACCAGGCTCAGATACAACTTTTTTTTTGAGTACACAAAGTGTTCTTGGTTCACGAAATGTACACATCTTTACAGTTGACAACTAGGTTATGTAATCAGATCATGACTGAAACTGAACGAGTTAGATTTTTAACTCTCTAAAAATATGTCTTTTCTTAAACATATTTTGGTAATCGCCCCCATCCCCGCCCCCCCCCCCTTTTCTTCCCACATCCCCTTTCCTTTTCCTTTTTTTTTAACGTTTACACAGAAATAGAAAGCCCGTTAAACAGTATACTATTATAAATAAAGTAAAGGACCTTTTCCCCCTCCTTCAGGGGCCTGAACACACGACTTTCCGATCCGCAGGCGAGCGCCTAGCCACTTTACCACAGCAATTCCTGTAGAGCCATATATCAGAGGTTTATTGGGGCGCCACAAAACGGTAACCAAGTGCCTGTAGTGCAGTGTTTATGGGGGCATTTTGTTTTATATACCGAGCTTAGGCCAGGTGTACCTTCCCTGAGTGCACATAATGATTGATTGACGTTCAACCCCGTCAGGACATACACCCAGCGACCAACGCCATGTGACACAAAGTGTCACCGTTCAGGTAAGAATCGTCCTGACACGAGTCCCAGAAACCCCGTTCAACCGTTAGGTTATATTAGGGCCCCCAATGACAGTCAGTGTGGGGCTTAAAAGTAACCAAAAATTTGCCTCCTATATTGGGGTCAAGCTGGTAGCACAGGGGTTTGTGGGTGCATTTTCTTTTATATTTTGACTGACTGACTGACTTTCTACCCCACCAGAACATCACACAAGCGATAAACACCCGATGACACAATGTGCCACCATGTGGATGAGGATCACAATGGAGAGGTTCCAGAAATCGCGTTCTGCCATTAGGCCATATTTATGGCCGGGCCATATTGCGGCCCCTGACATGAGCCAGAGTAGGGTATATAATAACGAAAAATGACATCCTTAAAAGGGCGGCAAGATTTATACATAGTATAATATATTTTGAGACTACTCCAGGCGATCCTTCACTGAGTGCACACAATGTTCCTGGGCACACAAAATGTTTCTGATGACACGAAATTTTCTTGAGGACACAAAATGTGCACATCTTTATAGCTGATCATTAGGTTATGCAATCGGCTGACGACTGTAATTTAACTGGTCAGATTTTTATCTCCATAAATATTTATCCTTTCTAAAACGTAATGGCGAAACCAGACGTGACTGCGGTCAAGATAATGACAAGAAATTAATACAATAAACTGTGATTAAAAAACTTAACAGAAAGGGGAAGGAGAACAAAGTATACGCAACAGACAAACTGTCGTTTCGGCCGAAGCCTTTCTCGACATAAACTACACAACAGCAACAAAGGGTAAAGTACTCCAAACACCTGAAGCATATTTTATTAATCGTCGTTCCTTTTAATATACTGAGCTAACCGAGGGTGTAACTTTACTTGTGTGCACAGAAAGTGCAGATCCTTATAGTCGATCAATAAGTTATGTAAAGGGATGTAATTCTTGTACTGGTTGATGAAATCGTAGATGGCCAGGTCTGCTACAGAAATACCAGATCCCAGGATAAACGGACCTGGTGTAGACTGGACGTGGTTTGTCCAAAATGTGAAATGTTGCGGTAGGAGCACCTGGATCAAATCAAAACAAATCAAAATCGTTTGAAACCAACGTTAAAATTATATATATATATATATATAAGTAACAAAATACGACAGGCAAAAACTGTTTTTTATAAAATAAAAATCATTTCAGAGATGAGGTTTCACAGAAGGATGCTTAGAATACCCTGGACAGCCACAAATAGCAACCAAGAGGTTTTGAAAGATGCAGGAGCCCGAAGACAACTTATCACAGACATTAGAAGAAGACAGTCATCATTTTTCGGCCTTGTTATGAGAAGAGGGAAAATAGAACATGTTGTGACCACTGGAAAGATCTGTGGAAGGAGGGATAGAGGAAGACAACCAGAGAGGATGCTTGACAGTCTTGTTGTATGGCATGGAGGTGTGTCTGCACACGAACTGACACATGCTGTACATTATATATCGCCCACGCCATTCGGCAAGGCACCTGGTGATGATGCTGATACATATATGTATAATCTTCTACTTCTTCTTCTTCTTCTTTTCCGCCTTTTCTTCTCTTCCACCTTGTACTATATATATAAAAATATATATATATATATATATATATATATATATATATATATATATATATATAATTTGATGAAACCCTTGTATAATTGTCCATCTTTTTCTTCTTCGCTGTAAACTCCAGCGGAAAATTCTGGTTGTTCGTCTACTTCTGAACTCTAGTCCTGTTCTAGAAACTGAGTCTGACGTGCACATCCGTTTCACAGGTTGACACATTTGCATGCAGACTGTCGGTTCCTTGCATCGCAGGCAGATGTACTCCGACTTCGAAGGAACCTCCTAATTAGTCGACTCTTACGACATGCTATGGGAAGGCAGTGGGTCTTATCTTGTTTTCCCCCACAAAGGGGCCGCGGAACTCACGCGGGTTGATTGTCCATCCTAAATCCGACCTTTTCAACAAATTTTAGAAGGCGCATGTTCATTCATAAATTGTTTTAAATCATCACAAATTAGTGGTGTCATGCGGACTAATATATTAAAATGTTTAAGGCGTATAGAGAGCTCTGGATTTAATTAGAAAACAAGAAGTTAAATGGTTTGGCCATACAACACGGATACTAACAAAAGTATACCACAGAATGCAATGAGGTACAGACCAAACGGGAAGCGAAGCAGAGGTCGACCATGCAGACAATGGATAGAGGGAAAAACAGAGTCCCTGGGAAACCCCCTTTAGATAGCGTCCAGACTTTGACGTAAATGTTACTCCACATCGACAACGCAAGGTACAAGAGATCAAGATGACATAAGAAGATGATGACGTCGATGATTATGAGGGTGACTGCGTTTTAAAAGATAAACACCCACTGACTCAAAGATCAGGGAGAGAGTCCAACAGGACAAAGTTCCAGACACGTCACTCAGCAGTTAAATACAGTTGTACGGTGCACATCGCTTTAGGCGATCTCTGTTGTGACGAATTTATGTTGTGAAAGTCCATTTGTTTATCCATTACTGTGTTAGCTGCTTTAACACTTTATCCGCATAAGTAATAGTAGTAGAAGTTGTAGTAGTAGTAGTAGTAGTATTAGTAGTGGTAGTAGTAGTAGTAGTAGTAGTAGTAGTAGTAGTAGTAGTAGTAGTAGTAGTAGTAGTAGTAGTAGTAGTAGTAGTAGTAGCAGCAGTAGTAATAATAGTAGTAGTAGTAGTAGTAGTAGTAGTAGTAGTAGTAGTAGTAGTAGTAGTAGTAGTAGTAGTAGTAGTAGTAGTAGTAGTAGTAGTAGTAGTAGTAGTATTATTATATAGTAGTAGTAGTATAAAGCAATAGTAGTAGTATTAGCAACAGCAGCAGCGGCAGCCGTAGCAGTAGTAGTAGCAGTTGTGTCAGCAGTATATAGTAGTAGTAGTAGTAGTATATCGTAGTAGTAGTATATAGTAGTAGAAGTATATAGTAGTAGTGGTAGTATTAGCAACAGCAGCAGCAGCAGCAGTCACACCTTCATTAGTTTCTCAAAATTATCATCTGGTAACTCTTGCATCTCTTCATAAGCTTTTTGCATGACTTCAGATTCCTTCAGATCTTGTACCTTGTTGGGTAGGAGGGGGGGAAATGATGTCATATTTACTCTTGCAGTCTTATTTAATTATTAATTTAATTTTTTTTTTTTAATGTTCAGCTTATCAAAGGCGGCCATAGGTCAGGTTTTCACCGGAACAATCTCTTGTCTTAGGTTTGCCTCTGCCACCCCGCCGGTACTCCAAACAAGCTTCTTCTTCTTCTTCTTCTTCTTCTTCTTCGTCTTCTTCTTCTTCTTCTTCTTCTTCTCTTCTTCTTCTTCTTCTTCTTCTTCTTCTTCTTCTTCTTCTTCTTCTTCTTCTTCTTCTTCTTCTTCTTCTTCTTCTTCTTCTTCTTCTTCTTCTTCTTCTTCTTCTTCTTCTTCTTCTTCTTCTTCTTCTTCTTCTTCTTCTTCTTCTTCTCTTCTTCTTCTCTTTCACCATGAACCACAGTAAAGTGTCTGGGCAAAATGTTCGTCGTTGAGCTCTGTCAAGAGCAATATTAAGATTGATGTTCATTTCTGTAAAGTTGTTCTTAATACCATCACTCCATATTTTGCGAGGTTTTCCGCTCGCTCTACACCTGTTTTAATTTAATCTCGAGAATAGAATATTCACTTATAGTTATATCCATAGATCTTGTTAGATTTTCTTGTTTTAGATAACTGTAGTCTTCTTCTTTTTGTTCTTCTTCTTCCTCTGCATTCGTCTGTAGATGTAATAGTGCTTTGTCCGTTTACAGCATGGCTGTTGTATTGGGGCATTCGGCCGACACATCCAACTTCTGCGGTCAATTTTTGACCAGATTAGCCTTCATCATCGTCAATTCTCCTTATGCCTAGTGGCACATGAGGCTTCAGAGAGGACTTTCCATGCTTTCCTGTCCTGTGCAATCTTCAGTGCAGTTTTCCATGACAGAGATGCAGCACTCTGGTCACTTTCTATCGTTCGTCTCCATGTTGTTTTTGGCGACTCTTCTTTCTCGTTCCCTCTGGTGTCCAGTCAGAGCTGTTTTGGCAGATATAATAGGACTCATTCTTATAATTTGATAAAGTCATTTTTATCTTCTCTTGGTTATCATACTGTCTAGAGTTTCTTGGTTTGTGACTTGAAGTAGTTTAGTGTTTGGGAGTGTATCTGGCCAGAACATTTTGATAATTTTACGCAGACATGTGTGGTGGAAGGTGGATTGTTTGTGTGTATCCTTTTTAGACATTCTCCTGTATTCTGCTCCACAAAGAGGAACTTGCAAAATGAAGCTCTTGCAGAGTTGAAGTTTTGTTCTTCTGTAGTAACTGTTGGATTTCAGATTTGCCTATCCTTCCAAAAGCGGCTAAAGCTTTGTTCAGACGTGACTGTATGTCTTCCTCTGTCCTTCCCAGTAGGCGCACCACACTGCCAAGATATGTGAAATGTTCTACATTTTCAAGAGTTTGGTTATTTATTGTCACTGGTTGTTTGTTTGGACCGTTAGTTATGATTTTTAGTTTTCTTGTATTTATTCTTGTATTTCAGTCCCACCATTTCTGCTGTGCTGAGTTGTCTGCTGCTTATCGTGTTTATATGATAGGAGTGCTACGTCCTCTGCAAAATCGAATTCGTCTAGCACAATGAATGGGGTTTATCGTCTGCCTCTCGATGTCTTGTCTAGTATATTCTTTAATATCCAATCAACCGATTTAGCCTTCACTATTCTTTTAATGTCTGAATTGCGATAATTTGAATATCATTTTAACGTGTTTATTCATTGCAGTTAAGGGGCATATTCTTGGTGCAGTGGTTCAGGTTTTAATACTATTGTTTAGCAGTGCAAGCAATTAACCCTTTCATCCTGGTGACCTATGAAGAGAAGGGAAAAAATCAAGGCGGGGGGGGGGGAGGGGCGGTATCCATGTCCATTCCCATTCTTGCAAGGATACTCCTAGCGATATTGTTCAACCCCTGCTCGTTGTTTGTGGATTCGCTCTGTATTTTAAAAAAAAACCACTTGCCGTCTACTCACACAGCATCATCTTATCTAAGGTTCAACATTCTAGGTTCTCATCATGCTTCTTAACTTGTCCACACTTAACGACTGTGCAGGAATATACACACGACTTCAGCATAACGCAGGCTAGCTGATGTTCTGCATAACTTCTGCCTGTTTTATTGTAGTTCATAACCATTTCTTCATCAACCCAATTCCATAACAATCCCAGACATAACAATCCTAGACATAATAATCCCAGACATAACAATCCCAGACATAACAATCCCAGACATAATAATCCCAGACATAACAATCCTAGACATAACAATCCTAGACATAACAATTCCAGACACGACAATCCCATACATGACAACTCCAGACATGACAATTCCAGACACGACAATCTCAGACATAACATTTTCAGACATGACAAACCCAAACACGACAATACCAGACACGACAATCCCAGACACGACAATCACAGGCACGACATTCTCAGACATAACAAACCTAGACACGACAATCCGAGACATAATAATCCCAGTCACGACAATCCCAGACACGACACTCCCAGACGCCAGAATCCCAGACATAACAATCCCAAACATGACAATCCCAGACACGACAATAGCAAATACGACAATCCCAGACACGGCAATTCACACGTAATAATCCCAGACATAACAATCAGCGCATGTCAATACCAGACAGACACTCAACACATTACAAATCCAGACAGGACAATTCAAACATGACAATCCTAGACACGACAATCCCTGACAGGACAATCCACACATGACAATATTAGAGACGACAATCCACAATTTGAAGTATACTGGACTGGGAGTGACCTAAGAAGGTGGGATGTTAAGGCAGGGTCAGGGGTGACGGCAACCTTTAGGTAGAAGCCCGCAGAGGAAAGACATATAAGTTTAATTTCTCTAAATTTGCGACCTTGAACCTTACAACCTCTAACCTGGTGAAGGACGGCTTCGGCTGTTAAAGATTCAGTCTCGCTGTTTCCAAGAAGACCAAGATGGCGAGCTAGAAACCGGATGATAGCACTGGGTTCGCCATACACATTGTGATCTATCCACAGAACAGGCAGATTTCCATACGGCATTTTACACATCAGGCATTTCCAGTCTAAATCTCGCAACAGATGATCGTCAAACCTGCGCAGAAATGTACCAGAGAAAGTCAAGAAGGTCACACTGCATTACTGCCTGTCTTTGACACAAGGGCTTTTTGAGTCTGAGGACTTGGGGTCGAATGGCTGGTGCTGTCGGACTGTGAAGGTTATGATTTTATTTTTGCCCCCGACAAAACATGTAGATTCGGCCCCAAACACAACCCACCTACGTCCCACGAAAGAGTGCAGCCTAGGTCCCACGAGTGAATGCAGCCTGGGTCCCACGAGTGAATGCAGCTAGGTCCCACGACTGTATGCAGCTTATCTACCACCCCCTGAAATTTTAGACTGCCCCGTGACCAATGGATTTTCTCTGCTAGGATATTAATAAAGCACCTTTCAGAATTATTCTATACGATACTTACGGAATATCTGCATACGTTAGCAGCAGACGAATCAGTTCAGCGCGACCTTTCTTCGTCCTTGACAATATTTTAAATTTGGAGAAGCCCAGTAGCATAGTTCTCTGCGAATAAATAACATGTTTAACTGTAAATGTCATCAGCAACCAGTCATATGTTCGTTAATTATGTCATTAGCAACTGGTCATACATTCGTTAATTATGACATTAGCAACTGGTCATACGTTCGTTAGTTATGACATTAGCAACTGGTCATACGTTCGTTAATTATGTCATTAGCAACTGGTCATACGTTCATTAGTTATGTCATTAGCAACTGGTCATACGTTCATTAGTTATGTCATTAGCAACTGGTCATACGTTCGTTGATTATGTCATTAGCAACTGGTCATACGTTCATTAGTTATGTCATTATCAACTGGTCATACGTTCGTTAATTATTTCATTATCAACTGGTCATACGTTCGTTAGTTATGTCATTAGCAACTGGTCATACGTTCGTTAGTTATGTCATTAGCAACTGGTCATACGTTCATTAGTTATGTCATTAGCAACTGGTCATACGTTCATTAGTTATGTCATTAGCAACTGGTCATACGTTCGTTAATTATGTCATTAGCAACTGGTCATACGTTCATTAGTTATGTCATTAGCAACTGGTCATACGTTCGTTAATTATGTCATTAGCAACTGGTCATACGTTCGTTAGTTATGTCATTAGCAACTGGTCATACGTTCATTAATTATGTCATTAGCAACTGGTCATACGTTCGTTAATTATGTCATTAGCAACTGGTCATACGTTCGTTAGTTATGTCATTAGCAACTGGTCATACGTTCATTAATTATGTCATTAGCAACTGGTCATACGTTCGTTAGTTATGTCATTAGCAACTGGTCATACGTTCATTAGTTATGTCATTATCAACTGGTCATACGTTCGTTAATTATTTCATTATCAACTGGTCATACGTTCGTTAGTTATGTCATTAGCAACTGGTCATACGTTCGTTAGTTATGTCATTAGCAACTGGTCATACGTTCATTAGTTATGTCATTAGCAACTGGTCATACGTTCATTAGTTATGTCATTAGCAACTGGTCATACGTTCGTTAATTATGTCATTAGCAACTGGTCATACGTTCATTAGTTATGTCATTAGCAACTGGTCATACGTTCGTTAATTATGTCATTAGCAACTGGTCATACGTTCGTTAGTTATGTCATTAGCAACTGGTCATACGTTCATTAATTATGTCATTAGCAACTGGTCATACGTTCGTTAATTATGTCATTAGCAACTGGTCATACGTTCGTTAGTTATGTCATTAGCAACTGGTCATACGTTCATTAATTATGTCATTAGCAACTGGTCATACGTTCGTTAGTTATGTCATTAGCAACTGGTCATACGTTCGTTAATTATGTCATTAGCAACTGGTCATACTTTCGTAAATAATGTCATTTACAACTAGCCATACGTTCGTTAATTATTTCATTAGCAACTGGTCATACGTTCGTTAGTTATGTCCTTAGCAACTGGTCATACGTTCGTTAGTTATGTCCTTAGCAACTGGTCATACGTTCGTTAGTTACGTCCTTAGCAACTAGCCAAACTTTCATTAGTTATGTCATTAGCAACTGGTAATACGTTCGTTAATTATGTCAAAAGCAACTGGTCATACGTTCGTTAATTATGTCATCAGCAACTGGTTATACGTTCGTTAATTATGTCAATAGCAACTGGTCATACGTTCGTTAGTTATGTCATTCGTAACTGGTCATAGTTCTTTAATTATGTCAATTGCAACTGGTCATACGTTCGTTTATTGTGTCATCAGCAACTGGTCATACGTTCATTAATTATGTCATCAGCAACTGGTCATATGTTCGTTAATTATGTCATAAGCAACTGGTTATACGTTCGTTAGTTATGTCCTTAGCAACTGGTCATACGTTTGTTAATTATGTCATTAGCGCCTGGTCATACGTTCGTTATTTATGTTCTTAGCAACTGGTCATACGTTCGTTAGTTACGTCCTTAGCAACTAGCCAAACTTTCATTAGTTATGTCATTAGCAACTGGCCAAACGATTGTTAGTTATGTCATTAGCAACTGGCTAAACGTTCGTTAGTTATGTCATTAGCAACTGGCTAAACGTTCGTTAGTTATGTCATTAGCAACTAGCCAAACGTTTATTAGTTATGTCATTAGCAACTAGCCAAACGTTTGTTAATTATGTCATTAGCAACTGGTCATACGTTCGTAAATAATGTCATTAGCAACTGGTCATACATTCATTAGTTATGTCCTTAGCAACTGGTCATACGTTTGTTAATTATGTCATTAACGCCTGGTCATACGTTCGTTATTTATGTTCTTAGCAACTGGTCATACGTTCGTTAGTTACGTCCTTAGCAACTGGTCATACGTTCATTAATTATGTCATTAGCAACTGGTCATACGTTCGTTAGTTATGTCATCAGCAACTGGTCATACGTTCATTAGTTATGTCATTAGCAACTGGTCATACGTTCGTTAGTTATGTCATTAGCAACTGGTCATACGTTCGTTAATTATGTCATTAGCAACTGGTTATACGTTCGTTAATTATGTCATTAGCAACTGGTCATACGTTCGTTAGTTATGTCATTAGCAACTGGTCATACGTTCGTTAATTATGTCAAAAGCAACTGGTCATACGTTCGTTAATTATGTCATTAGCAACTGGTTATACGTTCGTTAATTATGTCATCAGCAACTGGTTATACGTTCGTTAATTATGTCAATAGCAACTGGTCATATGTTCGTTAATTATGCCATAAGCAACTGGTCATACGTTCGTTAATTATGTCATTAGCGACTGGTCATACGTTCGTTAGTTATGTCATTAGTAACTGGTCATAGTTCTTTAATTATGTCAATTGCAACTATTCATACGTTCGTTTATTATGTCATCAGCCATTGGCCAAACGTTTGTTAGTTATGTCATTAGCAACTGGCCTAACGTTCGTTATTTATGTCATTAGCAACTGGCTAAACGTTCATCAGTTATGTCATTAGCAACTAGCCAAACGTTTGTTAGTTATGTCATTAGTAACTGGCCAAACGTTCGTTAGTTATGTCATTAGTAACTGGCCAAACGTTCATCAGTTATGTCATTAGCAACTAGCCAAACGTTTATTAGTTATGTCATTAGCAACTAGCCAAACGTTTGTTAGTTATGTCATTAGCAACTAGCCAAACGTTTATTAGTTATGTCATTAGCAACTAGCCAAACGTTTATTAGTTATGTCATTAGCAACTAGCCAAACGTTTGTTAGTTATGTCATTAGCAACTGGCTAAAACGTTCGTTACTTATGTCATTAGCAACTGGCTAAACGTTCGTTAGTTATGTCATTAGCAACTAGCCAAACGTTTATTAGATATGTCATTAGCAACTAGCCAAACGTTTGTTAGTTATGTAATTAGTAACTGGCCAAACGTTCGTTAGTTATGTCATTAGCAACTAGCCAAACGTTTGTTAGTTATGTCATCAGCAACTGGCCAAACGTTCGTTAGTTTGGTCCTTACCAACAGGCCAAACGTTTGTTAGTTATGTCATTAGCAACTGGCCAAACGTTCGTTAGTTATGTCATTAGCAACTGGCCAAACGTTCGTTAGTTATGTCATTAGCAACTGGCCAAACGTTCGTTAGTTATGTCATTAGCAGCTAGCCAAACGTTCGTTAGTTATGTCATTAGCAACTGGTCTACGTTCATTAGTTATGTCATTAGCAACTGGTCATACGTTCGTTAGTTATGTCATCAGCAACTGGTCATACTATCGTAAATAATGTCATTAGCAATTGGTCATACGTTCGTTAATTATGTCCTTAGCAACTGGCCATAAGTTTGTTAGTTATGTTAGCGTAGAGTAGTTGTTTCCACCGTTTCAAGATCGGGCCTCCTTGTATTTGGCCCTAGTTAGTTAATTGAAAGATTATCTTCGTTGCACATCAGACAAGCCCATAAGAACTCGGATCCCATCTTCAGTACATCCCTCAGCATGTGGTGACCGATCACACCAATTGTGTGTCGGTTTCACTATTCTTCTTTGGCTAGCTGTATAGTATACATGATTGGCGACACCTCTTTTGACCTGAAGTTCTTGTTGTCTCTTGAGTGTAGCCGGTTTAGCTTTGTTTCCTGAGTCATCTCCTCCTCCTGCTTCCTTGAGAGCATTGAGAATATCGTGCAGGTCCATTGCTCTCCTTGTACTTAGCGTGGCTCTGCCAGCAAGCCAATCCATTAATTTATTCCCTCTTACCCCAGAGTGTCCTGGCACAAAAGATGAAACTAATTCCTTTCAGACGACATTTCCTCAGCGACTTCAACCATTTTCTTCGAATCCATCCTGTCTCTACCTTTTTAAGCAAGCTCATGGAATCACTTAGAAGGCACGCATGGGGGAAATGTAGTGTATCTAGCCGCATCATTGCTTTTGTTACCTCCATTGTCAGACTAGGTGAAGTTGACGCAAAAACCCACTATCTTCTTTTATAGTTTTTCCTTGAACCAGGACCGTGAAAGCCCGTACACTTTGTACGTGTCGAACGACGGATCCGTCAGTGTAGATAACTGCATCCCCGCAAGCAGAATTTTCAAGAATTAAGGATTGAACCTCTTCCTCAACCATCAACGGGCTTTATTCTAACGTAGACATCTGTTACATTAGCCCAGTATATGTATGCAAATTGTTATTCTATCCAACATTATGTATAATCAACAAATAGTTAACGTATCGACCAGCAAGCATGTACAGAAGTAGAAATGTAGAAGAAAACGTTAAACACTGTAAAAATGTAATGCTAGTGCTGCCATCTCGGAATCGAAAGTGGCACTTTCAAATGACGACAGCGCTTCGCTGCAGAAACAAGTCTACTAAAGATTCATGACCAGCTTGGCACACCCCCCCCCCCCCTTTTTCCCTTTAGTCTAAACCTGTTTCTGCTGCGAGATCAGCTATTGTCCTTTCTGGTACATTCTGGCTGTCGACTAGTGTTATTAGTATTTGTTTTAGCTGTTGTCTGAGTTTCGGCTCCATTCCTATTCTTACCTATCAATCAATCAGGTGCCACCTCCACAGTGAAGGTTGGCAGCAATAGATCTTCAGCATGCTCTGTCTCTTGTCCTGGTTGTACACTCTATAAAACTGCTGCCCGTCCTTCTCTTGATGTACACAAAAAACAATAGTCCACGACTATTATATATATCCTTACGTCCTTCTTAGGACGTTATTTTTTGTTATTTGAAGCCCCACTCTGGCTTTTGCCAGGGGCCGTAATATAGGCAGGTCATCATTATGGCCAAATGTCTGAACGCGGTTTCTGGGACCTCTCCACGGTGATCCTCATCCGCATGGTGGCACTTTGTGTCATCGGGTGTTTATCGCTTGTGTGATGTCCTGGTGGGGTAAAAAGCCAATCCAATCCAATTCTCTTGATGTTGTGTCCCCCAAATTCTATCGTTGCCTACCTCTTGCTATTTTGCCGTCGACCTCTCCTCCCTCCAGTATGGTTTTAAAAAGCGTGTTATATCTTTTAATGTGACCAAAAGAGCTCCAATTTTCTCTCTTTCTCTCTCTCTCTCTCTCTCTCTCTCTCTCTCTCTCTCTCTCTCTCTCTCTCTCTCTCTCTCTCTCTCTCTCTCTCTCTCTCTCTCTCTCTCTCTCTCTCTCTCTTGAAAATTTCTTTCAGTAATATTTTTTTTCATTTATAACCATTGCAGAACATCTGTATTTGATGGTTTTTGTTTCCATGAAATATGACCTATTCTTCTGTACTCCCGCATGTCTAGAGACTCATTCGATTTTCTAGTTGCTTGTGCATAGTACAGGTTTCTGCACCATATAGCAGGACTGAGTATACATTCAATTTATTTGACGATTCTCATTAGCTGTCGTCGGCTCTGTGGCTAAGACGATGGGAACGCTTCGTAATACCGGGATGCCGGGTTCGATCCCAGCTGCGGGCCATGTGCCTTGCGTTGGTTTCGACAGTGGTACCAAGAAAGCCGACCGTCGAGAAAGCAATGGCAAACTACTGGACGTAAATTTGCCTAGAAAAACCACACAACAGCCAGTGGCTGTTGGGGTTGGTTCTGCAACGTCCTATAAAGGATACGCAACTAACCTAACCATTAGCTGTCAGTAATTTACCTGTATGAACCGCACGTCGACCACGTTCTTCTGCGCCCATCTCCATTGTGGGGTGAGAGACGGGTGTCTCGGAGGGGAAGGATCGTAGGCTTTGCCTTGCCTTGGCTGTGGGATATCCGCCTTCAGGTGGGACATGCTTGAGGTGGCAGGCAATCATCAACCTAAGAAAGACGCTCGTCTCAAAAAAATGTATGCACATTTAGGGCCTTAGAAATACATGCTTTTCATAAAAAATTTCTTTTTTTTAGTATCAAACATCCCCATTTGGGTTACGGGGCCTCACTGTGGGGAATCTAGAATATATCCACTGTCTTCCAAGCAAGTATGTCGTAAGAGCCGACTAATTTGGTGTTTCCTTTGAAGTCAGAGAGCATCTGCCTGAGAGGCTAGGAACCAACAGTCTGCATACAAATAAGTCAGAGGTACACGTAACGAACTCGGGTCCAGCTACACACTTATGAGTGACGTAGTCGGGCCAGGAAATTCTGATTTGACGTTCATTCATGCGTCTCAATCTATGAGACGGGCAAGTTTAAGTAGCAGGGGTGTCAGTTTGCTACGACGTTGTATTGCGCCGACGCTCTTACCGGCGACCAAGCGTGCTCTATATTATAGGATGCGAGCTCTTTTAACGACCCCATAACATGTACAACTGGCCCTAACCCTCCCCCACCCCCCCCCTCCAAACACTGAGCCTAGGTCCCACAAGAGAGTGCATTCTATGTCCCTATAAATATACACTTTCTGTTACTTGATTAATTCTATGACCCGTGGTTTCAGACTTCTTAATATTTGGAAGTGGCCCGCAAAACGCTGCGTTGCTGCAGACACGCAGTGCTAACCTCCTCGCGCACGCCAACGCTGACAGCTGGAATAAACTCATTTCCTACTGAAAATCAAAGACGGCTGTCAATTACCCCCAACAGACACTAATTCTGCTTACGGGTGAGAACGCAAAGTTGGCGACCGCTGTTCGCAGAAGAACAATTAACACGCAACGCAAAACCTTCGTGATTACAAAAATACACCGAGACACCCCTCTAACATTGAGCAATGTCGACCAGCCTGAACAAGCATCATTGAAAGGTCAGCTAGTATGTAAAAAAAAAAAAAAGGGGGGGGGGGGTTGAATCTGGGTCAGTAGCCTGGGTAGAAGGGAAAGGGGGGAAAGGGGGGGGGGGGTTAGTGCCAGTAGTAATGGGAGAAACGAAGGAATCAGACACGAAAGTGTTCAAAGAGCGTTCAGAAAAAGATGGTGAACTAATATGGCGTACCCAAGTTCGGGTCGTGCGGACGACACTGGTGCACACTCGTGGTATACGAGTGGTGCCAGTGCTAGAATGTAAAGGAGTTTCAAATTCCTCCATTTCCCTGTAGGTTATGGGGTCCCTCTGCGGCGAACGGACAAGGAGCACAATGTCGTGAGATACTTCTCTCCAGTTTAATCTTTACCCGCTAGCGCCTTATCAATCAGAACGTCGCTCTCTTCACGGCACGCCTGAAAGTATCCCTTTTCGCAGCCAGCTCTTCAGCCTTACATGCTTTTATTTCCAATGCATCTTCAATGTCCTGTATCCATCTTCGCATAGGTCGACCCCTGCCTCGGCTTCCACAAACTATGCCCTTCATCAACGTCTTTTCCAAGCCACCATGACATTTAAATGTGGCCACACACAAAAACTTCAACTTTCCGGAGAGGATGCTGTTTATGAGCCAGTTCTCCTCGATGTTTAACTCCTGTAGAATGTTGATTATCTTCTTGACATAATTTTTATATCTCAATACAGCCCAAAAGTTACTGCTAGACAAAATTACAGTGCTTTATTAATATCCTACCCCAAACAAGGGAAATCCACAGGTCACGGGACAGTCTCATATTTCGGGGGGTGGTAGATATGCTGCATGCAGTCGTGGGACCTAGGCGGAATGTTGTCGTGGGACCTAGGCTGCACACTCTCGTGGGACGTAGGTGGGTTCGGGTTCGGGCCAGTTCTAGATGCTTTGGGGTCGTTAAAACCATTAGAAAGCCGGGAAACCCAGTCTTACCACTTTACAAAATGTTGGACTGTCCTGAGACGTCATCTGAGGTAGGATAATAATAATGAACCCAAATTACTGCTACTACTTTTGCCTAAACAATACGGTGTGGTTTATACCATGGACTATCAATCAAGCAGTCAATCAGCATGTCTTCTGCAGAACCTGGCTCTCTTCACGGCACGACTGAAAATCTCTCTTTCTCCAGCCCTATGTGCTTTCATATCCAGCGCATCTCCAATTCCCTGTATCCAGTTTCGGCATATGCCTCGTTTTTCGGCAATTGCAAACGACTCCATGCCCCCCTCTTACCCTCTCCCAACTCAAACCACCGTTTTTCTGCAGACCACCGCCATCATCATCAAGTGCCTTGCCAGCTAGCGTATGCATTCATGCATCTCCACAGATCTCGATGTTTGGTGTTCTCGATAATTCTAGTGATGCTATTCTTCCATGCCACTGTCTCAAAATATCTACCATCATTTCTCATTGTCGGCCTCTGCTTCTTCTACCAGTGATCTTTCCAGTCGTCACATTTTCCAGTGCTCCTTTTCTCATCACATGATTAAAGAACTGTCTTCTTCTCATTGTTGCATATAATGTTCTTTTCATTAGCCATTTCCAGGCAATCATTGTTAGTTATTCTGGCAGTCCAAGGTATTCGCAACATTTTTCTCAAGAACCACATCTCAATTTACTTACAAACTCTTAATTTGTCTGCTCACATTCCAAGATTTACTACCATACCACTATAGCGCTTGAAATATGTACAGTAAAAAGACATACAATTAGTAATACATACCACATGTAACCGTTACACGCGTTAAGCATCGACGTATTTTGTTCCTAATGTTTTTTCTTGATCAAAGACAAACTGAAATAAAATTAAAGGAAAAGGGGGAAAAAATAAGGGAACAGAAAGTCAGACGATTTTTGTTGGGGAAAGGGTAAAGGTGAGTATACACTGTTTTCTGGGAATTTCCATAGAGCGGTGCACACGTTTTATAATTTGCATGACCCAAGTAAACAAGTGAACTTTGTTAGTTAGTTAGTTAGTTAATTGGGTTATCGTCATTGCACTCCGGACATGTCCATAGGTGCTCAGATCCTCCCCTCAGTATGAACCCCAACGTCCGATGGCTAATAGTACCAGTTCTATGTTGATTAACAAGTCTTCTGACGCGTCCGGCACTCGTTTTTGCTGTGCCGATCTTAATTCCCAAGTCTTTCTGGCGAGTGATTCCTGCCACCAAAGTCCTCTATCCTTCCCATTTCTCTGAGGGCATTGATAATATCAGCATGATCCATAGGCAAGTAAACAGAAGGAGTGCAGAATTTGGATTAGATATAAATTTGAAAAAGACAAAAGCCATGATATTTAGCAAAGAAAATATTCAGTTAACAATGAATATCACAGTGAACGGGGTGAAATTGGAACAAGTTAAAAATTGCTTATATCTTTGACAAGTAATAACATGTGAGGGCAGAAGTGAAACAGAAGTCAAGAAAAGAATAGGGATGGCCAAAAACATTTTCAACAACATGCAAAAGTTACTGACATCAAGAGAAATAAGCAATGCATTAAAAATGAGAATTGTCAAATGTTATGTATTCTCAACCTTACTGTATGGCACAGAGACATGGACAATGAACAAACAACTGGAGAATCGTATCAATTCTTTGGAGATGTGGATATACAGAAGATTAGGTCGTATTTCATGGAAACAAAAGCTATCAAATACAATGATACTGAGGAAATTGGGAATGAAAAGAGAGTTGCTATGTGAAATAAAAAAGAGACAAGTGAAATATTTTGGCCACATTAAAAGACATAACAGTATTGTAAAGATCATCCTAGAGGGAAAGGTTCAAGGTAGGCGTGCAAAAAGCAGACAGCGTTACAAGTGGGAGGATAACATCAAGAGATGGACGAACAGCAGTATGAGTGAGTGTACATCAAGGGCAAGAGACAGGGCTTGTTGAAGATCCATTGCAGCCAACCTTCATTGCGGAGACGGCACCTGATTGATTGATTGATGACCCAAAATTCTGGTTCATTCTTCTTCTTCTTCAGCATTTCGAGCCCTTGAGGTTTATTGCTGCAGATATCACCCGCCTCCATTCATCTCTCTGGTTGGCAATCTTTTTCCAGTTGGTGACACCAAGTGTTTGCAGGTCTGTCTGGACATTATCTCTCTATCGTCTTCTTTGTCTGCCTCCTGGTCTACAACCATTCATCTCCCTCGTGTATACAATTTTTGTTTCTCTGTCATCTGAATTTTTTTAAAGATTCCCCAATAATTTAAGTCTATTGGCTCGCACGATGCCAGTGATCAATGGTGATTTAAACACATAAAATGAATTTCGTTGTTGCTTCTCACTCTCCATTTCCCGCTGTTTGCATACTTGATGGGTCTAAAGATTCGTCGTAAAACTGTTTTCGAAAATCTGTAATAAGACTTCATCTTTTTTAGTTGTGCTTCAAGCTTCAGAGCCATATATGAAAACTGGACTTATCAACGTTTGATATATTTTTATCTTGGTGTTGCATAGTATACTTTATTTCCAGATTGTATTTTAAATTGTATTTCTTCTCTCAGCATATTGGAGCAGTTTATGTTTGCACCCAAGTACATATGTTTCCGTTCGTTTGATTTTCATCCCTCCTCGCTGCAATAAGCATATCATCCCCAAGTGCCTTGCCGGCTGGCGTAGGCGTTCATGCATCGCCACAGATCTCGATCTTTCGTGTTCTGGATCAGTTTCACTGATGATATTCTTCCATGCCAATGTCATTTTTTTTTACAATTTGTTTTACTCGTTATGCGAATTACTCGTTATGAGAGGGGCTCGTTAATCGAGGTTCTACTGTATCTGTATGAAATTTATAAATCATGTAATGATGGATGATTAAAAAAACCAACTGCCTTTATATATACCACTTTTTCGGTGTATGCAGGGCAGTCTTTGAGCCTGAGGATTGAGGGCTGCATGTTCCGTATCCATAACCCAGCTGCTCTGTCCTTGAACTTGACGATTGTTTAGCGCCAAACTTGGGCCAGCTCGAAAACTGGTAAGGAAACGGTCGGACTTCTTAT